CAATTTCAACTAGAGTTTTATTGCATAAGATAAATAAATATAGTTTAAGAAGAGATTAGGATCTTGTTATTGATAATGTGAAGGAAAAGTAGTCCAGATCAATCAGTGGAATACAAGGTCCGTGTATTTTTAAAGGCCTTGATAAAGCATCATCTGAGAATTTGGTTATGTCCCACACCACTCGGGATTATTGCCCAAAAAGACATAATTTAGGTTACAGCAAACAAGCTGTGATTCTGCAGAAGGATTACAGATTTCACAGTGTGACACCCCACAACCCTTCTTCTTCCCATTGTTGAATTCTTGATGTAATGAATAAAGTATAGGTAATCAGTTTTCTGCATTTTTTTTTAAATGAACCGATATAAAATTTTGACAACCAGCTTGTAATTTCCCCTCTTCTTGTCTTTGGTTATATAAACCAGTTTTCATGGTCACCATTTAGATGAACTTATGTCTGGGAAATTAGAAATTTGCTCATCTCAGCAGTTCCATCTCAAGTAAATCATTTTTATTTCACTTACACCTCCTCAGCCTCCTTTTTAGGTTAACAGTTGTTAAAGAGATCAGGTAGAGTTTCCTAACTAACACAGTAACTATTCTAATGGTCAACATACTGATGGTCCACATGGTAAAAATATCCTTCTGAAGTGCCATATTAGTCTTATTTCTGTCCTGAATTATCAAAAGGAATTTATATTTTATTTACTGGAAAATAGGAAATCAATGAAAGTCTTTAAGAATACATGTGGCATGGGGATATTTTTATGTTAGAAATAAAATTATTTGATAGTTTTATGGTGGTTGAAAAAAATTGCTTGAAGACAAGTTTATGAGTGAGAAATGATAAAAGCACTAGTAGTGTTGGGGTGTGGATAGTTTTGTAAGATATAAAATTTTAATTCTGGGCCCGATGGTGGTAGAGCAGTAGTGCAATGTCTCTGCGATGTGGCACCTATGTAGTTAAGTCCCAGGTTTGTGTCCCGTCTTCCCTGTGCATGCCTGTCTTGTACTTACTTGTAATCCAGGCTGGCTGAGACGAGGCATAGGTTGTGGCATAAGGACCCTGTTGAGAGTGCCTGTCACTATGTCTCTTTTTTTTTCTATGTCTCATAAAGTAAGTAAGTAAATACATAAATAAATAAATTTCAAAATGAAAATAAAATTGGGCTTGCTCCATAACCTTGTGGTTAATGGAGCTGAATCACACATTTCTGACTATGATTGAAATCTTAGCCCTGGTGGCTCGAAACACATCCTGGATGCATGTGCACATGTTCCCCATATCTGGACAGGATAGAGAATTGGAGGAGAAGGGATTGTGGCATGACCATACTCCACTGGGGACTGCTTTCTCCCTCTCTTCCTCCGTCCTCTTACTCTTTCTTGTGAGCACACATACCTTCTGGAAAATAAATACAATCAAATCTAGGTTCTTCAGGCTCATAAAAGTTCTCTCTACTCTGTGGTAACCCTAATCTTTAACCTTTTAGCATCCACCACTCATTAATTCATTGAACAAAGAGGATTATATGCTAGATTCTGTCCCAGGCACTAAAATTGTGGCTGGAAAAAAAAAAAAGTAAAACTATTTTCCCAATATAGTGCTCACATTCAAAGTGGAAAGACAGTCAAGGAATTTAATAAATAAAATACATATTATGTCAAAGGTTATACATTTCATGAAGAAAAACTAGCAGGGAAGGATGTTAGGCAGTTCTGAGAGAAAGAAAGTTTAGATAGTTGGCAAAGTAGATCTCACTACAGAGGTGAGATATTTTCAGGAGAGTTTTGAGCAGACACCTGAAGCAAGTGTAGAGGTAAGACATGTTGCTATTTTGGGAGACAATGTTACAGAACAAAAATATAGCAAGTTCAAAGATTCTAAGGTAGAAGTGAGCCTGGTATGGTTTGAGAAACAGCCAGAATTCACTTTGACTAGAATGGAGATTTTATATGTATCTCTATATATCTTCAGATATATCTTAAGATTTTATGTATGTATAATGTTTTATATATTTTTATGTTATATATATGTATATATGTATATATATATGTGTGTATATATATATACATATATATATATATATACACAAAATAAAAATAGTATGTATCATATAAATAATACAGAAATCAGAAAATTCCAGGTCTCAGGCATTAGTAAGAATTTAGGGAATTTAGGGTTTATTCTGAGTTAAACAGGAAAAGATTTTTTTTTTTTTTTTTTTTTTTTTTTACAAGAAAAAAAACATAATCGGCATAAATGAAAAGATCGCTTTGGTTTCCAGACTTTAGCGAGGTGAGGGCAAGAACAGAAACATCACTTGGGAACTGTTTGGTAACACAGGAGAGCTGATATAAACAGGGTCAGAAACTCCCGCCCCATGTCCCCGTATTCTGAAATACTTGTCACTTGAAGTTCATTCTGCCATTTGGTACCTACACGAACACTATCTGCTTTTACAATTAAATGTGTCATCTTTTCCATGTGCATTTTCTTGGTCCTACCTTATTTAACTAGTATCTCACTTTTTCTGCCTTTGTAGAGCATATACAATTAACCTTACTCTTTGGGGTATTTGCATATTAACTCATTTAAAATCCTTACTAAATGTTTATTTTGTGTCATAAACTACCTATTTGGAAATAATGAACAAAAACTCTTAGTTCCTACAGCTAATGCACTTGTGCCTATTTGCATATTCTCTCCATCTATATTATGCACTATGGATAGCAAAGGTCATATTTTGCAGTGTTTTCTATATCCCACTTACAGCCTATGAAGTACAGTTCCATAAAAATACTAAGTGCTCCATAGTTCTATTACGAAAAGATTGAGTTACTATTTTCCCTTGAAATGCATACGTAACAAGCACGAATATGCTTAGGTGCATATTATGGCCGTATGATAAAATAGTAATGTCTTTGAGAATTCATAAATCGGTCCTTTAGCATTGTGCAATGTTACCAAACTTTTTTAGTGCTAATAAAAAATGTTTCATATACAGTGCATTGTATTAATTTCTAAATGGCTGTTGTATAAAAATTAAATAAGTAAGTAAGTTAAAGAGCTTATGTCTTCCAAAATAAGACCGAGAGGTAGTTTGAGAGACTAGATCTAAGCGTGCTGAAGGGGACCAGTCTTGGAATGCACATCCATCTGCCCTTGTGTTTCTTTACCAAGACACAGGAAAGGACTTTGCTCCAATAGCCCCTTATCACTCTGTGAACTGAAACTGTCAGAGAAGATGTTTGTCTTCAGCCCCTCTCCAAAGTTTAAGATTGGAAGATATTAGTGTAACTGGACAAAGTTGACCATGACCTATATATAGTCTGTCTTCCAAGCCCATCCTGCTTCCAAAGAGAATCATTTACTCATTATTGTATTAGCATTAAACCCATTGTTTCTCCCATTAAGCCATCTTGCAAAATTACTTTCCATGCTGACCTCGAAATAATCTGACCTCATTGTCTCCCCTTGATAGAGATTTAACCAATCACTGCTCAACAAGACTTCTTAGTATAGCTTTTGACCAATGTAAGGCTTTTAAGTATCCCCTCTCCCCACTGTGACTTTTTCTTTAACATTACCCTACATTCTTAGCACATATTTTTCAGGATATATTCAGTGCTGGATAACCAGGTATATTATTCTCATTTTGGCCTGAATAAATTCATCTATACTTATTTCAGCTCACCTCAGCCTTCTTTGCTTAGGTTGAAAATTACATTCTTTTTAAAATTTTTAATTTTTTAATTTTTATTTTTTTAGAGGTTTTGTCATACACTTGCTGGAGAGAGATTGAGACAGTGATAGAGAAAGTGAGAAATCATTTCCTGGGGGGATGGCCATGATGCAATCCCTTCTCCTCCATTCTTCTAGGATCTTGGGCATGCACATACATGCTCCCAACATGATTTTCTTTTTTCTTTCTTTCTTTTTTTTTTTTTTTGAGAGAGGTTTTTGCAATAGGGTGTGTGCACTTGCTAGAAAGACAAAGAGAGACGGAGAGATAGAAAGCAAGGAATCACCCCCCAGGGGGGATGGCCACACTGCAATTTCTTCTCCTCCATTTTCCTCTTGGAATCTTGGGCACACATGCACATGTGCCCGGTGTGAGTTTAAACCACTGGGTCTGGGACTCGAACGGGGTCGACTACACGGGAGTCTGGCGATATAGCCATTATGCTAACTGCTAGATCCTCTCCAACGTGATTTTTAAGCCACCAGATCCAGGACTTGAACTAAGACTGGCCATGTGGGAGTCCAGCGACATAACTGCCACACCATCTGCTGGCCTCTTTTATTTTTTATTTTTAAAGAATTATTCATTTATTTTTATTATTATTATTATTATTATTATTATTATTATTATTATTATTTTAATTTGACCAGAGAGCGAAAGAAAGGGAAAGTGAGAAAGCAGGCCATCAGGCCCAGGACTCAAAACCATGGTCAGCCATGTGGAAGTCCAGTGCCTTAACCATGATGCCACCTGCTAGCCCTAACAATCTCAATCTTTAATAAAGACCTAAAAAGAGACAACAACAGTAAAGTCACTTGAAAAAAGTAAAAAGATCTCTTAATTTAGGAGAGTTGAGTAGGAACAAAGTTGAGACAGAAAAATAGTACAAGAGTTAAAAAGATAAATACTGGTAAGAAATAATACATTTCAACTGAAAATAGTGCTAATTTCTTCTTAAATGATTAATTGAAAAACACATCCTTCAGAGACAGTCTGAGCAAGGATACCTTGAATAATCTAAAATAAAGTTTGAGTGTGAACTTTAATCTGATATTTTGTCAACTGCAAAGATAAAGACAAAAAATTGGGAAACATCATGCCTGACAAATATGATGTTAGCCACATGTTCTTGAACAATGTTGGTTAATTCTTTTCAAATTATTACTCTTTTAAACAGAATTCATGAGGCAATAATGAAGAGAATGTCTTTAGAATTTATGGATGTCTCAACCATTCCTTCAGGATTATTATGTACAAAGATCTATATCAAAGAATAATGGCACTAGGAGAGGGGGAGGAAAAGACAAACCATGATGGTGAGTCACAGCAGGTGGTAAATCTCATCTTAGCTTTTAAGCATATTTGTTATTTCCTACAGAGAATGTTAGAGAATGTATTTCAGGAAAGAGCACAGGGTAGCCCATCATACAGAGAATGTTAGAGAATGTATTTCAGGAAAAAGTACGGGGTAGACCACTCCAGTTCTCAGAACTAATGCTTTGGCATAGATTCACAATTTGAGCCCTCAGAGTCAGCTTACTTATCATCTTCTGGACAAGTACTATAAAGACAGACCAGAAATGTGTGAGCAGAAAATAAATAGGATCAGATTTCATAGAGAGGCAATTCAGTTTACAGAACAATGAGTAGAAATGAGCTGGACTGTCCTTTCTGGAATATATGATGTATGTGTGTGATCATTCTCTATGACCCACCAAACGCCATGATAACACAACACTAATAACTTACATTTTTCTTGTGCTTAAAATATAAACACAAGCAATATATATGATATATATTATCATACATAATATATCATGTATAATATATTCGATATGATCATATATGATATATAACATATCATACATATGTATATGATAATTATATATCATCTATAATATGACAATACATTAAACATGATAATTCATGTAAATAATATATCATACTATATCTGGTAATATATGATTACATATTTGTAATATATATGAAAATATGTTATCAAATATAATTTTCACATGTTTGTGATTTAGCCAGAAATGTAGTCTCAAGAAGAAAACCAAAACACATAACTATTGAAAGATTTTCCAAGGCTTCTAAATGGTAAAGCGAGGACTTGTACTGCAGTCCCAGCTCTTCGACTAGTGTCTTATATGTTAACCGGCATCGTGACCTAGGCCTGACTCAGGCTGCTGATCTGTTAATTTTCCAGACATCACAAAATACAGCATACAGAACCTCCTTGATCATAATCATGTTCTCTCAAATTCAGCAAATTATGACAAACCGAATCAATCTTACACAAATATGTACATCAATTAATCATTTCTAACTTGTATTCCTATTCCTTGAAATATTTTAAAAAGCTGACAATACCTGTGCCTATTTTATGTGTTTGCTAAGTGCTGAATGGACATGTCGTGTGGGCATAACTGAGCATTGTAACATGAATAAATGGATCCAGGAAAACACAGTTAAAGTGCAAAGCAACAGCGTCTTCATCCTTAGTTGCACAAATAATACAAAATGTTATGTAATGAGATCGTCACATTTTTCAGGGATCAAATTCTCAAGTATGTCTGTGACTATAGGTGTTTGTCCAATAAATGATAGCTACCACAGTTACAATTACTATTTCTCTTCAGACTTGTTTAAGGTCCTTCATGAAAACGCTGAGTCTGGCAGCCAGTCTGAGGCCGTGGATACGGTCTGTTGACCGTAGACTAATGTGCTCTCTGATGATGGAAGCCCACGGTAGCTAACAGTAGTGTATCCACCATGCGGTATTAACATGAGTCACCTCGTGACCTATGTTTTGGGTGTAAAATAAACAACTTAGGTGGTATAAAAAAAGTTTACTGAAAGCCTCCCAAAGCAACTGGTATGTAAACTTTTAAAATGTTAGAAGAGTTCAGAGAACCAAAGTTGGTATTTTTATGGGATGTTTAAAGCCAGACATAAATATTTTAGTGAACGGAGCTGCTCACTCATCTGAAGTTTATGACTTGGTTCAAAACCATTTATCTAGTCAGAGCGAGTCTTCCACTGTCGTTTAATATTTCTGTTATACAATTGCATCAAGGAAGTATTAGCGATGTTTAGTTTTAAGAATTCTATACAGCTAAAATAGTTAAAAATGTGAAAATTGTTGGATGTGATTAACCAAATCAGTATAAACAAGTGCATTTTACTGAAGAATAGTCATTTACTTTTCAGCAGTCTTGGAATTCTATACTTTTAAGTATTTTTTTTCCATGATCAAAATAAGGGCCTTTGGTAAAACATCATGAAACAAAGAAAGAGGTAATAAATATTAATAGAGCTGTTTACATGGTTTTGTAGCTGAATTTATGCTTGCAATAATCCAGGTACACTCTCCAAATTGCTGGCAAGGGGAAGAAATGGGCTTTATTAATGTCCACAATTTCAAAGTGCTGCTTCAGATTTTACTCAAGAAATTATTGCTTAAAATCAGTAGAATGTGTAAGGCTGTTTTCCTTTAGTTTCTATCCTGCATCTTATTTCTGTTACTCTTTCAGTTTGAAAATTTCAAGGTTAAACAACAAGCTCTTTCATGGTGTAACACAATACAAATGAAATTATATTAAAAAGTGAAGTTTTGGCTAAGCTACTAGATAATGTTAAGGTATAAATGCTGTTGTTATGTTGCCTTAACAGTGAAACATTCTGTAAAGTGATATTATCTTCTTCATGTCTTGAAAGAGAATAAAATTTGTTTTTTATTAGAATGAGACTTCTCTGGGGCCAGCAGGTGGCATGATGGTTAAGGCACTGAACTCCCATGCGGCTGGACCCAGTGGCTTGAAACTCACATTGGGTATGTGTGTGTTCATGTCTGAAATCCTAAGAGGAAAATGGAGGAGAAAGGATTGCCACATGGCCATCCCTCTTAGGCAGTGGTTTCTTGCTTTCTGTCAGTCTTCATTTCTCCTATGAGTGCACATGCTCTATAGCAAAAATCTCTCTCTCTCAAACAAAGCAAAAAAGTAGGAAAAAAAAAAAGAATGAGACTTCTTGATGTCAAGGATTTATATAGTTCACTGCTACATACCAAGAGCCCAAATAGAGTCTGGTACACAGGAGGTGCTTAAGAAGAAAAAGTTCTACATGAATTGATGCTAATTATAATTATTTATTTAATTTTATTTATTCATTCATTTATTTTAATTTGATCACACATACAGAGAGAGAGAGAGAGAGAGAGAGCCACCAGGTCTGGGACTTGAACCATGATCGGCCATGCAGGAGTGTCCAGCACCTTACCCAAAATACCACCTGCTAGTCCCAATGCTAATTATAGTAAATCCACTATAATCTGTATTTGAAGCATGAAAGAGTATGATTGCGTAATTTGCTTTACATTTTCACCAAGATACTATGCCAACACTTTAACCTCAATATGGGGAAAGGAAAACTTTATTTTCTTCCACAATAATTTTATTACTCTCAATTCCATATTCCAATAAATATTACCATGTTAGTCCCTGCTACTTTGGACAAAATCCAGTCATATTTTGCTTGGCATCATCATTTTAGCTTCTTTAAAGGCCAATATCTGTCTGTGTTATCTCTGCAATATTTTTTTTTTCCTTTTAGCCATATTCCTCCCAATCTTACTGCCACTGTTCTAATTTGCATATTTAGTATATTTTGCCCTAACAAGTGTATCTCTTATTTGATCACTTTGCCTTCAATTTCTCTTCTTCTTTTTCTTTTTTTTTCTTTAATTAAAAACAATTTTGAGAGATTTTGCTAACAGGTGTGTGTGCTCACTGGAGAGACAGAGAGACAGAAAGCAAGAAATCTGGGGGGATGGCCACATAACAATTCCTTCTACTCCATTTTCCTCTCAGAATTTTGGGCACACACACACATATGCCCACCATGTTTTAAGCCACTGGGTCTGGGACTCAAACTGCGGTCAGCTACGTGGGAGTCCAGCAATGTAAGCATTATGCCATCTGCTGGTCCCCAATTTCTCTTTTTTTAAATGACCTCAAGATGATAGAAACTGCTAGTTCTGTCACCTTGGATTTGGTTGTGCTGAATATATAAAGCCAAGAAACAAACAAAAGCATACAAAGTAAAGACAAAAGGTTTTATTTCTTTAACAGATACAGAATCTGGAAGGAGGGAGTACTGGGATGGTATACAACTTAAAGACAATGGAGGACTAGATCCCTTCCATACTGCTGCTTCAGTATCCTTTATGGGCAACCCCAAGATCCACTGTGGCTGCTTGAGCTGTATGCAGTGTGATTACATTCAAATCAGCAGGAGGTGAGAAGGACATAGTGGGTATATGTCGCGCAACCGACGACTCCGGAGACGGTCTTCTCTTCAGCACTTTATTTCCCTAGGTTATGTTACAGAAGTTCTTCTACCTTTCCCTTTCCCCGGGGCCTTATAAAGGGCCCCTAGCCAATCAGATCATTGTCCACGTGCACGGAAGCCAGTCCTGGAAAGAGGATTGGTTGCATGCGGTGTTCCCGTGCTCTCCACACTCCCCACTGCCCTACTTCCTTAAAGTTGTTTACTGCTTTGAGCGCTCAGCGGGCTTCCATTGAGCGCCATTTTGAAATAGGCGCTGAGTGCGATGGGCGGGGGCGCTCCACAGGTATATGCCTTGAAAGGCTATTTTCCATCAATCACTTGTAGTTCTTCTGCTTCACATCATTGGCCAAAACATAGGTATGTGACCACACTGGACCCAACAGAAGGTTGGGCAATGCAAGACACCAGAAGAAAATGGATTGCAACCTCTGTCAAACCAAGTATTATACAGATATTATCATCTTTACTCCTCAAAACACATTTGAGAAAGCAACTTAATAGTTGATATTAATAGTCTCATGTGTAGGTTAAACGATCCTACAACTTCATCATCTTCAGCTAACATGTGGTGCTTTCTACCATTCTGCATCTCGTTTTGCACTGCCATACTGCTCTATTCTGGCAGGGATTGACTCTAAAGTTTTTTAGGTGCTCAATAAAAGCTGGATGAATGAATGCATCATTGGTCAAGAGTGAAGAAGAGTTTAATTGCATCTGCGAACTTCAGAGTTCTAGCCAAGCATCAAGTAATAGTTGTCAGAGTATTTGTCTCTTCACTCATACATCAATATTACAAAAGGAACACATATTTAATATCCCAACTTTTTCAATCTCTAAGTCAGAAGCTAAAAGATTCAGAATGCAAGAGGATAAAGATGAAGGGATGGTTGGTAGTTTAGAACTTATTTTTATTTATAAATGTCGACAGAGGTTATTTATCAAAACTCTTTTCTTTATGTTTGATTAACTGCACCATTTGGGCTTTTAAGAAAGGGGGAAACGTTGCTGGATAAATTATTTGAATGGAAGGAAAGGAGTCAACATTGAAGAAAGACTAACTGAGGAAGCATCACTAAACAAATTCCATGGTTCAGATACATTAGTTACCTAATCCACACAATCGAAACACTGCTCTTCCTGTTTGATCACTATTTATAGTAACATTGAAAACTTGGAAGAAAGAGCATTCAGCTATTGTAAAAGCCATACAAAATCAACTTCATTATGTGGCATAATGTTCAGTTTCTTGCACTGTCCACCTCCCCCACCTCTGCCTCCCAAAATGTGTATTAGCTTACATGTTTGTTGTTGATTTGTAGAAGTCAATAGCTCAAGAATCTCTTCTACCTAAAATTGCTTATTTTTTGGTCCATGTTCTACATGCTACTGTAGGCCAGTTTGATCATCCAAAAGGAAGAAGCATTTTTATCTTCTTCACTAATTAACGGCTGACTTTCCTTGTCCAGAAGGGGAGATGTGTTATTGACTTACTGCCATATTTTCTCATATAAAGGAGAAAGATAATTGGTAACACTTAAGGACACAGGTAATTAAACAGCATGGTTGAATACCCAAGTTGCTTAATTTACTAGAAATCATTAATGTATATCACTCCTTTAATTGGTATATTTTAAACTTATAAAACTATGGCATTTAGAGTAATTGTTTCTGAGTTTTGATGACTATTCATTCTTCTTTGTATTTGAGTGTATGTTCAATTTTCAGTAGAAGAGTTTGTTCTTTGTGATCAGAGAATCAGCTTACATTTACCTATTTAATAAATTTATTTATTTATTCAGAATAACTTAGTTCAATTATTAATTTTTTCAACAGATATTTATGTTGAGGGAAGAATTCTGTCTTAGTTTTCAACTTTTTAAGTCATCATTTCAGATGAGTTTAGAAAATGAAGATGTCAAAGTCCTTGTCTATATCTGGAATGTTGGGAGAAGACATAGGTATAATTAAGTGGTGAGGAGAATAGAAGAGATTTGATAAAGCATGAAGGGAACATAGAACATATACAAACTCTCCCCAATACTTTTTACAATTGTTTATACTCCCTTTCTACAATTGTTCTATAATTTTACATTTTCCCTTTTTCTCTGAAAGTCTGATGATGATGATGAGCTACAAAATAACTGACAAAAAAAATCCAATGAAGAGGAAAAAGCAAAGGCAAGAATGGCTACATGGCCTGGTATTAAGGGGAGCTGGAGCCTGTATTCCTGACTGCATGATTTGAATACCTGCTCAACCAGCTTGAAACACATACTAGGCACATGTAAGTGCCCAACATTCCAATAGGGTGAAGAAATGGAGAGGGGATTGTGGTGTGACCAAACCTGTTGGGTCAGGAGGTGCTTTCTCTTTTTCTCTATCTCCTTCTCTTTCTCTGGCAGGTGCAAGTGATCTCTGGGAAAAAAAAAGAAAAAAAATAAAGCATTTCTATCCAGGGCATAATTCTACTTATACTGGATTAAAATCACATATCTAAAAAGTCAAGGGATGATGGGAATATTTATGCATCACCTCCACACTCAGCCTATTAATATGCCTATGCTGAGCACAAATATTTGTGAAATAAGTGACTAAATGTGTGATCAAAAAAGTAGGGGGGAAGCCATATGGTTTTAAAAATTTACTAGAGGATAGATGTACTTGCCAGAGAAAGAGGGGAGAGAGAGAGAGAGAGAGAGAGAGAGAGAACCACCCCCACCATGGGTGAAGGTCATGCTATAATCCCTTCTCTTCCATTTCTCACTCCTTTTGGAATTTTGGACATGCACATACTCATGCCAGTTTTTCCCACGCTACTGGGTCTGCAACTCTAACTGTAAGGTCAGTCATGTAGGATCCAAGCACTTTCACTACCATGCCACAGGTTGGTCTAAAAAGGCATATTAAATTTGTTAAAACATGCATGTATGTGCATGAGAGTCCAGCATATATGCAACTCAGTGGGGGGCCTGATAACTGGAAGTTTTATGCAACACAGAAATAAAAAGGCTCAGAGTTAGACTAAGAGCAGATGAGAGGTGAAAAACGCCATGATCGTCTTGTTTTTCTGGGCCAGGTGTCAGACCTCTGACCCCCCTATCCTGTTCCTTCTTCTATATTCTGCTAACTTAATGATATACATTTCTTTTGCAAAAGCTTATCTTTTTGTTTGCTTTTTAAGGCTTTTTGTCATCGGGCACTTACTGGAGAGAGATGGAGAGAGACAGTAAGAGGGAAAGTGTGAAATCATCCCCAAGGGGGATGATCATACCACAGTCCTTTTTCCTTCACTCTCCTCCTGGGATTTTGGGCACATATGTGCATGTGTCTGGTCTGATTTCAAGCCTTCAGGTCTGGGACTCGAACTTCAATTAACCATGTTAAGAGTACATCACCTTAGTCAATACACCACCTGCAGGTCCCAAAAGGTTACCTTTCTTAAAAGTCTAACTTTGTGTCTGCAATGCCTCTAAATAACCAAAATATGCCAAAGAAGTATATATAGGGGAGGCATAGTTTGGTTCCCCATATGTTTCATTAAACAACTAAAATTGGAATTGGCATTGGGAATGAGTAAATGTTTGTCAGATGGAAAATCTGTTAATAGCATTCTACCCAGAGAATGTGTCACGTGAGCCCATGATACACTGGATACTAAGGGGACAAGTCAAATAAGACCAGAATACAAAGTATGTAGCAATCAAATAGACTTCATCTAGAATTTTCTGTAACTCATTCATATCATGTCTTGTGGTTCAGAAGACGTTGAAAATAACCATTAACTTACATGTTTACATGACATAAACGCTGTCACCCAATGCTGCTACTGTCATGGAAAGTTATCTTGATTCTAGAGATTCCCAGTTGTCCTGCAATGGCATCTCCTCAGCCATTACTGTTATTACCCACTGTCTCAGCTCCATTTCCTACAGTTCTCGCCATAGCCAAGGACCAAATTCTGCTCCCAGGTTCCAAATCTCTAATCCTAGATTAGGAATTAAATCTTCCCCTAATTACTTGAGCTCTTTGGACCAACTACAGAGGCTGGCCTCTGAGTAATTGAAGAAATCCCCTAAAATTAGATTAATTCTTTCTACTTTTTAACGCTTTGTAGCAGAACATAAATGTATGACCTGAAGTGAATTTGCCTGAGGTAGACAGTATGAAATCAAAATTACTTCATCAAACCGACTCAGATAGGTGTCTCAAATCAAATCAAACATGTCCCCTTGATCTCAAGTGCTAATTCCATTTGCAGACTCCTATTTTCACAGTCTTCATTGGTACATTTTTTTCCTTTTCCAAACTTGTTATATTGCAAAACTTTTCTGAAAAAATATTGTTGAGATATACTTGACATATAAAAAGCTGTATATATTTAATGCATACATCTCAGTGGGTTTTGAGATAAGCATACACCTATGAAACCATCATCATCATAACCTTAAATATATTTATCACCCTCAATATAATCCTCCCCAAAATACATGCTATATAATTATTGAGAAGCAAACATTTTTAAATCAGTATTTTTCTTCATCATTTTATTCCTGTTTATCTATGTGACATCATTTGCTAGGTATACTCAAGGTCTTCTGTTTGTCCTTCATGTGGCATGAAGAGGGACATAATTTGGAATCAGATGAATCTGGGTTTCACAGGATTCACTCTGCCACCTACTGTCCTCATGATTTTGTGAAAGTCCTGTAAATCTGCGTTCCTCAGTCTTCTCAACTGTGAAGTAGAGATACTGACCCTACTTCACAGGGTTTTTGTAAACACTTAGTGAAAATAAAGCTCTGAGTAGTGCCAGCCAGCAGCCTGGGGGGTTAGATGGCTGGATCCCACATGGCTGACTTCGCAATTGAAGTTCCAGACCTGGTAAGTTGGAAAACGACACTGGGTACGTGTGTGTGCATGCCCAAGATCCCAAGAGGAGAATGGGGGAAGAAGGGATTGTGGCAATGCCATTCCCCCTAGGGTGTGATTTCTCACTGCCTCATTTTCTCTTTCTCTCTCTGCCCAGGGAGTCCATGTGTCCAGTAGCAATACATAAACAAATGAATGAATGAATAAATAAATAAATAAAAAACTTCTGTACATATATCAGTCATCAGTAGGCACTCATCAACCTAGCTCCTGTTTTTGATATTGTGGATTATTGCTCCAAGCCTCCTGGTCTACTTTCAAACAATTTACCACAGTCTTGATATTTTCCATGAATAATCTTTCTACCACCTTGATTTAAAAAAAGTCTAGCCTTTCCTTTACATAAGCCAGTATTCTGACAAGAAAACAGGAACCACACTGGGCATTTCAGCAAAGAACTTTTATAAAAGGAGCTCTAAGAACTTAGGAATGAAGGGTTGAAAACATAAAAAGAAAACATTGAGGTATTAATAGCAGAATGAAGCCATCATTCCCAAGGGAACAGTCTGCCTTTCTTAGAACTCAGGGCCCTGGGGGGAAAG